AAACACAGTACACATAAATAAGATGAAGTCCTGCCACCATATATACGGTATAAAAATACTATTTTATTCCGTTAGGATTTCACTTTGTCTCGATGAAAAAAAAAAATGTCCATTGGGTACCTACTTTTTTTCCTGGCGCTTTTTGAACTTGCAATTTGCGCTGTCACGTGTGAGCGAACTGTCACATTTCAGTCGTGGTTATGTTTTTATAGTAAGTGACCTGTAATGACCCTTTGTGACCTGTCTGCTGGCGAAGGACCGGAGGGAGCCTTTTGAGGGAATGGGGGTGGGGTAGGGGTAGGGATAGGGGGATACGGATGGTGTTGCAGGATACCTTCCCTTGAGTTTTTTTGTTTTTTTTTTAATTAGAAAATCGGATTGATTAGAATGAAGAGCTACATGACATATCTAAAAGTGAGCTTATTTTTCGTATCTATCTCTTTATCTATCTATCTATAAACCATATGTATATTATATAAAAATATATAGACCTATATGTATTAGGTATGAGTCATGTCTTTCTAAACGGGCGTCGGAGCCTCCAAGACCACACTCTACCTTGAGGCGCCCTTCAGGCCCACTTTGCACTAAACGGAGTATGAGAAATTACACACATATTATATATAATCCATATGTATGTATTCACGTAGTATCTATATCTATGTGTCTATTTATCTATCGATATATTTATTCATATATTTATATATATCATATATGTATATATATGTATATATATATATTTATTTATATATATATCTGCATATATATAAATATATATGCATATATGTTATCTATATCATGTGTATCATATATGCATATATATATATAAATCATTTGCCATTAGTCCCAAGATTAATAATGTCCCGTTTCCCCGGCAGGCAGACGATCATGAGGTGATTGCCAGGCGACCGTGACGCTTAACCAAACCTCAGCCACGTAACTAACAATCCTCCACAAAAAGGGGTTTCAAATACCCCCTCCCCCCCCTTACGCGTACACAAGAGCGTCCTCCACAGCGGTTCAATCGGGAGTTGGAATCCCTTAAGAGGAAGTTTGTTTGTTACCAACCTCACTCAGCCATCCAAGGTAACCGACCAGTCTTCTCCGGCCTGTACAGCAGCATAATCTGAAGCCATCCAGCCTGCCGACCCAAAGCTCAGCCTGCAGTCGATCACCAGATAGAGAAAGAGCGAGGAAGAGAGATGAAAAGACGCGAGGAAGTGAGATGAAAAGACGCGAGGAAGTGAGATGAAAAGACGCGAGGAAGTGAGATGAAAAGACGCGAGGAAGTGAGATGAAAAGACGCGAGGAAGAGAGATGAAAAGACGCGAGGAAGTGAGATGAAAAGACGCGAGGAAGTGAGATGAAAAGACGCGAGGAAGTGAGATGAAAAGACGCGAGGAAGAGAGAGATAGAGACAGAGAAAGGAAAGAGAGATATAGATACTGAAAGGGAGAAAGAGAGAGAGAGATGTACAGATAGACAGATAGGTAAGAAAGATAAAGAGAGATAAAGAACGAGGCAGAAAAAAACTAAAACAAGAAGAAAGCAGTGACTTGAACACCGAGCCATAGACTGTATTCTCAGGAGCTCACGAATATAATAAATATTTACGCGAAGGAATCAAAACGCTCACTCGCTATGCATCGCTTGGTGTTCAGTATTCTGTCAAGGCATTTAGGGCGTTATGGTCTCGTCTCGTAAGCGTTGGAATTGTGTGTCCTTTATCGGTATTGTAGGTGAGACGGTTTCATGCAATTTTTTTATTTCTTCAAAACGTAGAATTGTGATTTAAAAGATAAGTTATTCGATAAATTATTGATCAATTATATATAGTAAGTGTTAAAGTATTCGGATACGTACTGAGGTGAATGAAGTATAAAAATGGAAGGATAGATACGATAGAAGAGAAAAAAAAAAAATCCGAAATTTCGCACGTCCGTAGATATAAAAAAAAAGAAAATGTTCACCAGTCATTTGTCTTGATCATTTTCTGTGCGCGATATTTCGAAAGATGCAGATATGGTATTTTAATAATGGTGTTTTTATTTTATTGTTTTTTTTTCCTTCATAATCTTCCCTTTGCGCATACACTTTTAGATATATATATATAGTTTTAGAGTAAACCAAGGCAGACTATTATATTCTTGCGATAACAGAGTACTTCGTTGATTCGTCCATTGAGAATTTATTCTTACATGAATGACAATAACCTTCAGTATCGTAAAAGCAGGAGGACTTTGACTATTATTAAATCATCATGATTTTTTTCGACCATAGTGTAATGTGATTTGTGGAAGCATTATTTTGTTGATAACTGATTACTTTTCTGACTTACTTCATGGTGATATTGGTGCCGATTCGTCTCAAATACAAAATTTTCTGTCCTTTTTCTATATACAAGTTAGTCTTTTTTTCTCTTTTGCGGTATAAGGTAGGCGGTTTATCACGTAATACGAGATAATGGGTGTTTATTTTTTTATATGATTCTGTCACGGTGTCATGACGCAAAACATATTTAAAATTAGCTGTATGAGAATCTTGAATCTTGAAGTACAGTTGCTACAATTTTGTTGTTTAAATTCTTGTACCTCGACATCTGCTCTCTTTCGACTAAGTTCATGGATTTAGGATTTGAAAAAAAAATAGAATGGAAATATGAATATAAACACTACAGAAAGAAAGAAAAAAAAAGAATGAAAATAGGGGTAGAACTACTGAAGAAACAAACCGTAACACCGTAACTCACTTCACAGACGCGTGTGGTGCGTGTGTTATTCCTCATTCCAGCCTTGTGTATCGAGTGCACCGTAAACTCCGTCTCGCAATGTACAGGGGATAGTTGCTTAAACAAGAAGCAAATGCATATAAGAGGTAATTTTACTTTTGATGCCGATGACGTCTACTGTGTGTCAAAAGGATCAGAATGTGTATATTTATGTAGAATTATCACTGTATGGATAGTTCGTAAGGATTCTTCCGTCTTCAAGGATTAGTACGTACTGTTTATTATAAAAAAATGTAAATATTATAGTTTTATCGGCGAATTCGATGTCTGCAGGTGGTTACATGCACGTTGTAATCGATGCAAGGGCGGGTGTTCATTACCTGCCTCGAAGGTGTATCATAAACTAGAATGGTATTGTACTAAGAAGCGTGTCGTTTTGCATGAATTAAGCCATAGTCATTCGTGTGCCATATAGAGGAGAAATCGGCTGATGTTGTAAAGGAATACTCACTGAACTTAAAAAAAAATAAGTGTTGTTACTGGGTTTGAAATTTTGTACTGCAGGTCCAAGGCGTCATCATAATTGTATGTGGAGGAAGGTTAGGGTAATGAAACCTTTTTTCTTTTCGAGGAAATAGCACGAAATTGTTAGCTTGTATTCTTAGTAAAACTTGTACAGTGAGTTTGATGCTTTAACGAAGTAATTACTTAATTGAAGTAATGGTCAATTTAGCGTTGTTAACTGCCAGTTCGATTTGATGAAATTTAGTCTGGCGTAGAAAACAAATTTAGTTATCAGGAAGAAATGAGTGTTTTCTGCTTTCATACTTTGGCAACATTTTTTAATGTAACATGTTTTCTGAAAATGTTCCTTGTTCGTGTGACTTTAATTGCAGATGCTGATTTTAGGTGGTCTTAGAAAATGTCAGCCTTAGATGTCAACACTAATATTTTGTATTGTAGTGTAGAAGTTAAAACATTTATACAGGATAAACGAAACTGCAGTCAGTATTATTTCTTCATAAAACATACGACTCACTGGAACAGACAATCAAATGCAGTTGTTTCAGCAGAGTCTCGTTGCCACTATAGTGTTCAAAAAAAGGAGCCTGCAAGTTTTGAAAGACTCGCGACCTATTGAAAAAGCTCATTTTAACGACATGACTCATCAGATACCTCTTCGGTATAAGATTGTTCTTTGTCTGTGCCACAGGTGCTCAGTGCTAGCGCGAAAAACCTATGTAGATTTACATGTTTGTTTATTAACCTACAGTTGTACAGTCCCCCTCCCCTCCTTTTCCGTTGTTTATGCAAGACTTTTGCACACGTTTCCCATTTATAACTAACTGCCAACGAAGTGAAGAAATTATAACTTGCACGTAATGTTTAGTGACGTGTTTATCATTATTTTAATTATCAACGTAAAACTGTACAGAAATACAGGTGTGTTTTATGTTGATATCTACCTGATGTGGATGTAGTTAGCGGTAGGCAGATAGGACAATGGGTGCAGAACGTATGTATACTTTTTTATGTTGCCCCATATTGGGGATGTCACATTGGGCTCCATCGCTATATACCTCAGAATGTAGGGGTCGTTTTGAGTACCCATAATGTATACACTAGTTTCATATACTGTAACTAATATTATTTACTTATAAATGATTATTTCCCAGGACAGAACACACACACACACACACACACACACACACACACACACACACACACACACACACACACACACACACACACACACACACACACACACACACAAACACAAACACACACACATACACACACACATACACACACACAGACACACACACACACACATATATATGCATTCGAAATTGTGAAAAAAAGTATGAATGTTATACGGAAGTAAAACTTGTATCATCCATTGCAGTTTTGTTAGGTCAGAAGTGTGAATAGAAGCGCCTGTCTTCTTTTTCATAATTTTATACTCAAAACAACTTTCTATATATAACGATTAAGGGGGGGAAATGTTGCTTATTTGCACATGATTTTTTTTTATTACGTATTGGTGGCATGTGTCTTGTTATGAAAAGTCTTCTGTGGGTACTCTCACGACCTTCCCTTTGGTGTGTGTGTGTGTGTGTGTGTGTGTGTGTGTGTGTGTGTGTGTGTGTGAGTGAGAGAGTGAGAGAGTGAGAGAGTGAGAGAGTGAGAGAGTGAGAGAGTGAGAGAGAGAGAGAGAGAGAGAGAGAGAGAGAGAGAGAGAGAGAGAGAGAGAGGGAGAGGGAGAGGGAGAGGGAGGGAGGGAGGGTGGGATTGTGGGACAGAGTGAGTGAGTAAGTGAGAGTGAGAGAGAGTGAGAAACAGGCAGACATAGAAAAGAGGGAGAGAGAGCGAGAGTGAAAGAGAGGAAGATGGCTGACGAAAGGGTAAGGGAGAAAACAAGAGTGAGGCCTCCACTAGACCAGAAACGAAACACACGCCGACAGAGCAGTATCTACCTCAGATTGGACATCTTCACTCAGCACCCACGTGCATCTCAAACATCAACACGCTATTCATGTTGACAAATGTAGAAAAAAAGGTATGAATGAGAAATGAATATCTTCACAATACAAGAGATGTATTTGGACAGGTTTCGATTATATCTATCGTCAGAAATTCATACATTTCTGACGAAGATATCATCGGAAACCGGTCAAAATACATCTCTTGTATTGTGAAGATATTCATTTCTCATTCATACTTTTTTCTACACAATCTTAACAAAAACCTCGTAGTCCTATTGTGCAAAAGTTCTCCCGTGTATTTTTTGTGAAATTCTATCATGGAGGAGCAAGGTTAACGTATGGGTGTGTGATCCTTTAAGGTTTTTACATCGAGTAGTATAACTTTATGCTACCAGTGACGTTTCCCATTCATACTTCTTAGTTAACAAGATGAAGAAATTACAGCTTGTAAGGATGAAGCTCTTTTAATACGAGTATTTGTGAAGATGTTATGGATTTATTTCACAAATTGTATAACTCCTTGTATCTTAACTTTATTAGATAATGATGTAACATTCATAATAAAAAATCCAAAGTTATGTTGTTTTTTATTATTTTATCACATTTTATTTGTTATAGCGTTGAAAAGATCATTTACATGAAGATACCATGTTACTCAAGAAAATGATACGCACGTAAATCATACGCACAATATTCCTTTTGATAAAACTGAGTCATATTTTATTTTATGGAAGCGTACAAAGAGCACTGCAGATTTTTTTTTAATCGCCTTAACTAATTTTACATAGTCTTCTCCTCCTTTTCTTTTCCTTCTGTTCATCCCCTTCTTGTTCACTTATCCTAATCGTTAATTATTTTTTATTCTTTTCGCCACAATACTTTGGCATCACTACAAAGAATAAATGATAACAGGAAATGTGAAATGGCAGATTCACACGTGCTGGTTTCCTCCCCACCTTTCACCAGAAACCAAGATTTTACACACAAAACTCAATTTTTATCGCAATAATCAGTAACAAGGTTTTGTGATAAAGAAAAGATGACTTACGGAGCAACATATACGTATATACATAGCCAAAAAAACACTACAAATTATCCCCTGAGTCATGAAAGTCCCGTTTTCTTGGTCGCTATTAATAAGTACAGTAGTCTAATATATACTGCTATGGCTGTTACTTTGAAGTGAGCTGACTTTACTCTTGATCAGCACAACGCCAGCAAAAGACATTCGTTCGGCAAATGCTGACATATACTTAGGTTATTTTGCCAATGTACCCGAAATGAAGATAGGGACTTCCTTTCTATAATTTTGTTGGATATAGATAAATAAAAATTCTAAATGCCGTTTCCTAATCATGCCTAAAAAAAGCATTATATCATACCAACAAAGTTATTCATGGAAGGAGTTTCTATCTTGTCAGAAGGGGAGATAAAAACACACACTAAAAAAACTGCAGATTAAACACATGATTAATAAGCAGTTGCATATCCTGCCACATGTTTAGAAGACGCCAAGGGTAATGAAACAAATCTGTTATACATTATTTCTCATCCTCCGTGATTGCCAAACAGTCATATAAATAAATAATAAAAAAAACAAAAAACAAAGTAGAGGTGTCCCAGTGTCTTATCCTCGATGACGAAGGTGTGTGTGTGTGTGCATGCATCGTGTGTGTGCATGCACGCGTGTGTGTGTGCATGCGCGCGTGTGTGCATGTGCGCGTGTGCGTGTGTGTGTGCATGTGCGCGTGTGCGTGTGTGTGTGCATGCGCGTGTGCATGTGTGTGTGCATGCGCGTGTGCGTGTATGTGTGTGCATAAATAACAACAACAACAAAAAATAATAGTCAATGATAGTGAACTACTCCGTTAGAACAGCCAACACGCAGTCAACGCTCTTACTGCTAAAATCTCATCATCATTTTCTCTCTTTCTTACATGTAACAAATAATAGAAAGACATAAACTAATACGAAAATAAATACGGGAAATCTGTAGAAATCGTTTAATGAACAAAATATATATAATAATTCCTGATGTTTGATTGTTGATATAATTTTCTGAGTATTTCTGAAGGCAAGAAAAAGGTAAAAAAGATGGAGATGAGAAAACTAAAATGAGGAGGAAAATGATGATGATGATGAGGAGGAGGAAGAAGAAGAAAAAGAGGAAGCGGTGAAGGCGGCGGCGGCGGAGGAAGGGGAGGAGGAAGAAGAAAAAGAAGAGGCGACGGCGGCGGCGGAGGAGGAGGAAAAGGAGGAGGAGGAGGAGGAGGAGGAGGAGGAGGAGGAGGAGGAGGAGGAGGAGGAGGAGGAGGAGGAGGAGGAGGAGGAGGAGGAGGAGGAGGACGAGGACGAGGACGAGGACCACCACGACGACGACGACGACGAGAGAATAAAGTAGATAAGTATACGAAAAGTTGAATAAACAAAAAAGTGTGACCAGAAAACGAACACACAAACAGGTTAACCGGAATAACGAAAAACACATTCTCTAACAGAAATCGCCTACCGTTTCGAAAATTGAGGCACGTGTTAAATTTTTGGACAAAGTTTCCTTGTCCTTTACTTTATATTCTCTGGAAGTAAGTCAGGGAAAATTATTTACTCACTTTCCTGTAAACATCTGTAATCTCAAGCTATGTAAATCTGTTTAACTAACCTCGAGGTTAACTCTGTTTCTGTTGACTGCATTATTGATCTATCAACATTTTCTTTACTTTTTTTGCGTTATTACATCTAATATTTAATAATTATAACGAGCAACGCAATCATTCCAATATTCGAGTAAGCTTTTCTGGAAATATGTTAAAGTTGCACACACACACACACACACACAAAACACAGACACACACACACACACAAAACACAGACAGACACACACACACATAAAACACAGACAGACACACACACACACAACACAGACAGACACACACACACACAAAACACAGACAGACACACACACACACACAATACACAGACAGACACACACACACACACAAAACACAGACAGACACACACACACACACAACACAGATAGACACACACACCCACACACACACAAAACACAGACAGACACACACACACACACACACAAAACACAGACACACACAAAACACAGACAGACACACACACACAAAACACAGACAGACACACACACACACAACACAGACAGACACACACACAGACAGACACATACACACACAACACACACACAAAACACAGACACACACACACACAAAACACACACACACACACACACACACACACACATATACACTTCTATTAATACCCCTTTATAAAAACCAGAGCTATATTCCTCCATTACAAAAAGGACGTACATTCTTTTATTCACATTTTATAACCGACTTAAATAAGCGCAGCAACCTATCATACCGATGTTATACCACTTACAATCAAGTAGAATGTCGCTGTCTCTCTGCACAACTGATAACCTGATAGATAGGTGACTGATAGATATCATTACCGCAGAAAACACTCGAGGCCTTGATAAACTGAATACCTGTTATCTTTTCCCTTGAACAAGGTAACCGAGATCTTAAAACCACGGCCTGTAACATCGAAATGAAGGTCGGTTTTGAGGGTAACGTTACGTTCATTATATGCCAAACAACAATTGGTGTCATGGTCTCTTTTAAAATACAGTTGGTGCCTAAGATTTTTTTTTATCGTTATCAATTTCTCATGGGATTGTCAAGGAAAAATAACACATGTTATTGAGAGAGAGAGAGAGAGAGAGAGAGAGAGAGAGAGAGAGAGAGAGAGAGAGAGAGAGAGAGAGAGAGAGAGAGAGAGAGAGAGAGTGAAAGAGAGAGAAAGAGTGAAAGAGAGAGAGAGTGAGAGAAAGAGAGAGAGTGAGAGAAAGAGAGAGAGAGAGAGAGAGAGAGAGAGTGAAAGACAGGAAGAGAGAGAGTGAAGGAGAGAAAGAAAGAGAAAGAGAGAGAGAGAGAGAGAGAACAAACCGACAACGAAAATCTTAATAAAACTGATATTCACCCAAACTCCCGGACGTCTTCCCGGTAAAAAAAAAAAAACATATCCTTCACCACAAACACAATTATTGCCCGTTTTATTTTCCATCCTTTCTCCGTCACTATTATGTATGAATATACTTCACTTTTCTTGTCTGAATTTCCCCTTGTTTTTCGGGATTAAGTCGGGAGATAAAACTAATTTAGCCATAAGCTAACGCGTGTTTCCAGCTGCACGTTAAACCTTTTTGATACCGTGTGAGATTAAGTGCAACTTCTTTCATATAATAATTTCGTAATTACCAAGCCAACTTTCGTTAATCAATATCGATCCGTTGAGTTGTTAACGAAACGAAATTCTACAGGATATATATTATCTGTTATATACTTTTATACCAGCAGATATTAATTCAAGTCTCATTGTACACAGCTATTAAGCAATGATACTTCTTAGTAGGGAAATGATATTGTTATTTGGTCGTGAAATCATTGCTATAGACATACTGGACTAAAACTGCTAATAACAGTAAAGATTATAATTAAAAGAAAACGACTTCGTTTTATTGCGTGTATAGAAAACGCGACTTTTTTTTGCAGGAGAAACTTCTTTCCTGTTAGATTTTCCTGGAATCAATGGAGATATTGTTACTGTAATTTATATCATTGTTATCATAATTTTCATTATTGTTTAATGATTAATAATATTATAATCACTATTATCATTGTTGTTATCATTATGATTATTATTATTATCACAAATATTATTATCATTATTATCAGTATTACTCTCATTATTA